GGTCGGCCAATGAGGAGGGAGTTACAATAGTCAAGGCGAGATATAACAAGGGGGTGAATAAGTAGCTTAGTGGTTTCCGGTGTTAGGAACGGTCGTATCTTGGAGATGTTGGAGGTGAAGTCTACAAGATTTGGACAGCGATTAGATTTGGGGCTGAAAGGACAGATGGGAGTCAGGATTACACCTAGTACCCTGGCATGAGGGGAGGGACTGATGGTTGTGTTATTGATCAATCTCTTACTGATCGGGCAGGAATGGTATATGGTAAATGCTGGACCAATGTAACTATATAAAAGTGTCCATACCTGGAATTCATCCGGAAGGTGTGGATATGATATTTTCCTGACATGCATTGGAACTCAAGAAGTGGCTTGGTAAGCTATTTATTTATTTCAGGTACTTATATAGCACCATCAATTTATGCATCACTATATATATATATATATATATATATATATATTACATTCACATCAATCCCTAACCCTCAAGGGGTGTACAATCTAAGGTCCCTAACTTACATCCTTATACTAGGACCAATTTAGACAGGCTCCAATGAAGCTACCAGCATGTCCTTGGAGTGTGGGAGGAAGTCGGAGTGCCCTGAGGAAACCCACACAGGCACAGGGAGAGCATACAAACTCCAGGCAGGTGGTCGTGGTTGGGATTTGAACTAACGACCCTAGTACTGCCAGGTGGAAGTGCTAACCATTTGGTCACTGTGCTGCCCCGTGAAATGTCTTCAACATTACAGAACAAGTCCAGCTGAATAGGACCAACTACCACAAACTCTACCATGACCTGGATAAATGAGAACCTTCACAGACCTCAGACAATAAAAATCAACCCAAAGTATTTGTAGGAGAATGGCATGCTTTACAGCTGTTGTAAGTACCTCTGGCCTCCCAGCTGTTGTGAACAAGACTCGCTGGCTGTTTTAGATCCACAACAGCTGGAGAACTGAAGGTTTCCAATACCTGGCTTCCAGATTAGATGATTGCATTTCATCTATGACATCAAAAACATATTTAAAAGCAGAAAACCAGCTGTATCCCATAGGCCTGTAATGAAAGGCTGCCATTTCTATCCAGCACATCCTCAGTTAGTTTAAGGATTTGCTATATTCTGCATTTCCTGTCATTTTTCAGGAGCTCTTCAATCAGAGGTAACATAACACCCCTCCCTAATCCTGAAGATCCTACACAAAGGAGACTGACAGAAGAGATTAATAGTCTTCAAGGAGCATCCGGCCTGGGACATTCCCAAATCCCCCCTCCCGCCCGCCCTTCAAAGTACAGTTGTTTTTATATGTGGTTCACTGCCAGATCCCCTAATAATACACAGGTATACGGTGCAGGAACACAAGGCACGGAACACACTTTTCTACATCATGACGTGTCTATCTGACCAGCTTGATCAGGCCAGTCCTGGAATAAGTCCGGCTCTATCAGGATCTATGTACACACAACCAGGTCCAGTATGAAGAAAACTACGATATGTGTATACACTGCTATACACAGTAGGCACGCCAGATTATTCCTCTAATTAGAGAGGCATATGTTTTACATAGGATCCGTGGATGACTGATTGAGATCAGGTGAGATGATTACCTCCAGCCTGCATCTATCATAATCAGCCAGCCGTAGAACATGTGTCTCATGTTAACTCTTTATCACCTATAGGCCTTTAAAAGGTAATTAGCCATTTTTATCCATCCTTGGAAAGACCTTTAGGCTAGCTTCACATCTATGCAGATTGCGAATTGTGCGATTTTATACCGCATTTTGTGTTTTTGCTTTATCTTTTTTTTTTTACCAATAGGAAAGTATTGACTTTGATTCGACATTTATGCAGTTTTACACTCTCTGGTACTCACGTAGCATCAAAGTAGCATTATAGTACTGTAGGAACCTTTAGGCGTCCAAAGTCTCATGTTAGGGTTGGGGTAAGGGCTAAGGTTAGGGTTAAATGTTAGGATTAAGAGCTAGAGTTAGATGTTAGTTAGGGTTAAGGGCTAGAGATAAATGTTAGGGTTAAGGGCTAGAGATAGATGTTAGGGTTAAGGGCTAGAGATAGATGTTAGGGTTAAATGTTAGGGTTAAGGGCTAGAGATATATGTTAGGGTTAAGGGCTAGAGATAAATGTTAGGGTTAAGGGCTAGAGATAAATGTTAGGGTTAAGGGCTAGAGATATATGTTAGGGTTAAGGGCTAGAGATAAATGTTAGGGTTAAGGGCTAGAGATAAATGTTAGGGTTAAGGGCTAGAGTTAGATGTTAGGGTTAAGGGCTAGAGATAAATGTTAGGGTTAAGGGCTAGAGATAAATGTTAGGGTTAGGGTTAAATGTTAGGGTTAAGGGCTAGAGATAAATGTTAGGGTTAAGGGCTAGAGATAAATGTTAGGGTTAAGGGCTAGAGATAAATGTTAGGGTTAGGGTTAAATGTTAGGGTTAAGGGCTAGAGAATTATGTTAGGGTTAGAGATAAATGTTAGGTTTAAGGGCTAGAAATAAATGTTAGGGTTAAGAGCTAGAGTTAAATGTTAGGGTTATAGAGATAAATGTTAGGGTTAAGGGCTAGAGATAAATGTTAGGGTTAAGGGCGAGAGATAAATGTTAGGGCGAGAGATAAATGTTAGGGTTAAGGGCTAGAGATAAATGATAAGATAAATGTTAGGGCTAGAGATAAATGTTAGGGTTAAGGGCTAGAGATAAATGTTAGGGTTAGGGTTAAATGCTAGGTTTAGAATTAAAGGCTAGAGATAAGTGTTAGGGTTAAGAGCTAGAGTTAAATGTTAGGGTTAGGGTTAAATGTTAGGGTTAAGGGCTAGAGATAAATGTTAGGGTTAGGGTTAAATGTTAGGGTTAAGGGCTAGAGATAAATGTTAGGGTTAAGGGCTGGAGATAAATGTTAGGGTTAAGGGCTAGAGATAAATGTTAGGGTTAGGGTTAAATGTTAGAGTTAAGGGCTAGAGATAAATGTTAGGGTTAAGGGCTGGAGATAAATGTTAGGGGTTAAATGTTAGGGTTAGGGTTAAATGTTAGGGTTAGGGTTAAATGTTAGGGTTAAGGGCTAGAGATAAATGTTAGGGTTAAAGGCTAGAGATAAATGTTAGGGTTAGGGTTAAGGGCTAGCGTTAAGGTTTAATGTTAGGGTTAGGATTAAATGTTAGGGTTAAGGGCTACAAAAAAAATAATAATGTCAAATCAAAGTCGCACCCATCCAAAGCCAACACTTTCCTACTGGCAAACCCCCCCCCCCCAAAAAAAACACAAAACAATTTAAAAAATTTATAAATATGAGCCATATATGGACAGTTTTAATAATGGCAAATGCATTGATGAGCAAATCACAGTCCACTAAGCCCTGGTTCACATATGTGCGGGATGTGCCGCTGCGGATCCCCATGAAAATCCGTGAAGCTGCACCACCTGCACAGAGGAATGCATACCCGCGGGCAGATGCCATTAGTTCTAATGGCACGCCGCCCGCACTGGAAAACGCAACTGTACTGGGAACCGAGGTTCCCGTGCGGGCTGCGTTTTCAGAAAAAGTGAAGGGACTTCTTCCCTGCATGTCACGGGGCACAGGAGCCCATTCAAATTATTGGATTCTCGTGCTCGCGCAAAACGCAGCCCGCACAGCCACATATATGTGAACCGCGTGTAATGTGGCATTGAGGTTAAAACTGTTTATGACTTTCACCAGCCCCAATACTGTTATCAAAGGTGGTCAGGGTGAAAAATGATATGATAGGTACTCTACTCTCTGTCTTGGGCACACAAAATGTTTGATCAGAGTTTTGTGCGACTGAAAAGCTCCTGTGACCAGTCAAGGTGCTGGGTCAATGGCCACCATCAGTTTTACTACATAGTTGTAGCTACAAAAGACCAATGGCACACAATCTTGCAATGACCCAACCCAGGGCTTGACAAATCCCATGCACCAGGTTACCATGGCAACTATCAATTGCATCTTGGCGCCTGGGTTCACATACTGCCTCCCACTGATTTCAATGGGAAATCGCTTCCCATAGACGTCAATGAGAAATTGTGCCCCATAGACTTGGCCTGGCATCAACAGCAAGGCTCCTACTTTCCATTCATCACACATCTGCACCAGAGGCTGGTCATCAGCCCTGAAGAAAGGGATTTGTCCCCGAAACGCGTCAGCCATTTGACCGCACTGACAGTGAGAACACCTTGCCTGCCGTCGTGGCCATTGTCATTTTTCTATGCTTTCTAGATACATGCTTCGTCTGTGAGTATGTTTTTATTATTCTTTCACTCCTTACAATAAACCTTGGATAATGCACTAGGTGTGTACGCCACCTGTTTTCTCTCTATAGACTCCAATGGTAAATCGCGCCCCATAAACTTCAATGGGAAAACGCCTCCCATAGACTTCAATGGAAAATGCCTCCCATAGACTTCAGTGCGAAAATGCCTCTCATAGACTCCAATGCAAAAACTCCTCCCATAGACTTCAATGCGAAAACTCCTATCAATAGCAATCCTATGGGAACACTTAACTCCGCATGCCACTCTATTCTATCACTTGCAAGTCTGGACAAACTCGCACAGTATCCTTTTCATAATGGCACGCAAAACACAATGCGTACAATCGCATCTGTGTGAACCACCTCAATAGGAACACATAATATCTAGCTTGTCATATGAATTTGTGAGTTTCAAAACAAATCCAGAATTGCATATGTGTGAACCAGGGCAGCTTCATTCACACCCAGGCATTTTGGGAATGCAGCAGAATCCCTGTGATCACAAAACTTAGGTTCAAGCGCCATTATTTTCGATGACGCCTAAAACGTGGTGTGGTTTTGCTGTGATTGTCACGTAGGGTGAAGTCCCGGCGCTGACAACCCACGCTATGCTAAACAAAACTGGCTCCTAACTTTTTTAGCTGGCTCCTAGATTCAAAGCAAATTTGTCAAGCCCTGACCCAAATTTATGTGATTATTTTAGGTACCTGCAGACCTGACATACAGCCATTGTCATAGTGGTAGGCATCAGGTACAGAAGACCTGCCACTCTGATCAGTATGTGTAACCATGCGCCTAAGCTATCAATAGTCAGGAGACGGGGTCTACAAACGTTCTAAACAAAGGGTCAGCTTACTGTCCTTCAAACTTTAGGAGGGCCAGACTGTGGCAGCGGGAGTAGAAAATGTCCTGGTGTCAGTGGGAGTACAGAGTTTCCTCTGTTTGGTATTAGTGGGAAGAATAGTGTTCTATCTTTGGTGTCAGTGGGAGGAATAGTACACCATCATTGGTATCAACAGGAGGAATAGTATCCCATCGTCGGTTTCAGTGGGAGGAACAGGGCCCCATCATTGGTATCAGTGGGAGGAATTGTGTTCCATCATTGGTATCAATGGAAGGAATGGTGTCCCGTCATTTGTATCTATGGGAGAAATGGTGCCCCGTCATTGGTGTCAGTGGAAAGAATGTTGTTCCATCACTGTTATCTATGGGGGGAATACTGCCCCAACATTGGTATCAGTGGAAGGAATTGTGTTCCATCATTGGTAGCAGTGGAAGGAAGGGTGTCCCGTCAGTCGTATCTGTGGGAGAAATAGTGCCCCATTATTGGTGTCAGTGGAAGGAATGGTGTTCCATCATAGGTATCTATGGGGGGAATAGTGCTCTATCATTGGTACCAGTGGAAGGAATGGTGTTCCATCATTGGTAGCAGTGGAAGGAATGCTGTTCCATCATTGGTAGCAGTGGAAGGAATGCTGTTCCATCATTGGTAGCAGTGGAAGGAATGGTGTTCCATCATTGGTGTCAGTGGAAGGAATGGTGTTCCATCATTGGTAGCAGTGGAAGGAATGGTGTTCCATCATTGGTAGCAGTGGAAGAACGGTGTTCCATCATTGGTAGCAGTGGAAGAACGGTGTTCCATCATTGGTGTCAGTGGAAGGAATGGTGTTCTATGATTGGTAGCAGTGGAAGGAACGGTGTTCCATCATTGGTAGCAGTGGAATGAATGGTGTTTTCCATCATTGGTACCAGTGGAAGGAATGGTGTTCCATCATTGGTATCTATGGGGGGAATTGTGCTCTATCATTGGTAGCAGTGGAAGGAATGGTGTTCCATCATTGGTAGCAGTGGAAGGAATGGTGTTCCATCATTGGTGTCAGTGGAAGGAATGGTGTTCCATCATTGGTATCTATGGGAGGAATAGTGCCCCATCTTTGGAATCAGTGGAAGGAATTGTGTTCCGTCATTGGTGTCAGTGAAAGGAATGGTGTTCCATCATTGGTAGCAGTGGAAGGAATGGTGTTCCATCATTGGTATCTATGGGAGGAATAGTGCCCCATCTTTGGAATCAGTGGAAGGAATTGTGTTCTGTCATTGGTGTCAGTGGAAGGAATGGTGTTCCATCATTGGTAGCAGTGGAAGGAATGGTGTTCCATCATTGATATCTATGGGAGGAATAGTGCCCCATCTTTGGAATCAGTGGAAGGAATTGTGTTCCGTCATTGGTAGCAGTGGAAGGAATTGTGTTCCATCATTGGCAGCAATGGAAGGAATGGTGTTCCATCATTGGTGTCAGTGGAAGGAATGGTGTGCCATCATTGGTATCAGTGGGAGGAATAGTGCCCCATCATTGGAATCAGTGGAAGGAATTGTGTTCCATCATTGGTAGCAGTGGAAGAAATGGTGTCCCATCATTCATGTCAGAGGGAGGAATAGTACAACGTTGTCAGTGTCACTAGCAGGAACTATGCCCCACTGTTGATGACAGTGGGGAGAATAATGGTCCAAAGGCTGAATAAAAGCAAGCAAAGGGCCGCAGTTTGGAGACCATTGGCCAAGATGATGATTGTCTGATCTGGCTATACTTGGATAATCTCATTTTTCTAGGCCTTGTGCAGGACAATGTTCTGACCACTCTGGTGAAAAGCAATTGATCAACCAAGTTATGAAATCTATAGAGCTTTTTTTTTTCTAGGCAGGTGGTAAAGTTAATACCATCTAAAAAGCAATTTGTGGTGGATTGGGTTTTTCAGAGTGTGGTATGGAAGCAGCTGACAGGCGTTCCGAATGAACAGCAATTTTACATTGCAAGACGGCACCACAATTGTGAGCCAATTGTTTGGCACATGACTGTGTTGCGGTCCCATTGATCTTAACGGGTGCTGCCTGTCAAATTCTGCAGCCCAAATTAAAAATGCTTCACAGTTGCCGCATGTCTACAGCTCTACCAGGCTGTGATGTTAGAATTTGGGTGAGCAGCTGGAGGGCAAAAACTTGGCTCAATCGCCTGTTTTTACCGCACCTCCAGCTAGCTGTTTGAAAAGGACCTCTTATTCCCTCTCCTGTCTATTTCCGGCTCATTCACCATCATTTCGAACGGCATCCCAACACACCTGTAATGCAACAAACCACAGCAGAGACTCTTGTATTGTGCTTGATGTAACATGACAGCCTAGGATGTCTGTACCTATTGTCCTATTTATAGTGTTTCTATATACAGTATAGGCTCATTACTATTCTATTGCCAAAGCATTCTTTTGATGTTTGGCGTTTGGGTTTGTCAAATACCGGGAGTGATGTATTCTCTATAGCAAAAAAAAGTCCGTCCGAGGGTAGCACAGCAGTGAAGCACACGTGTGCAGCTCAACACCCATACACATGATGAGATGACAGATAAAATGGTTGGATCTACTGATGATCTCACATTGATGAGTTCTCCCTTCTTCTGTCAGGGGATCAGACAAGTTCGAAAACCTTCCCAAATCTCTATTGTTCCCTCCAGATAATTCACCACTGGTCTCCTTCTATCCCTTTAGGCTTGGTTCACATCTGTGCGGGTGGTGCCGCTGAGGATCCGCACAAGAATCCGTGCAACCGCACCACTCATACAGAGGAATGCGGACCCCGCGGGCGGGTGCCATTAATTCTAATGGAACGCCGCATGCACTGGAAATCGCAACCGCACTGGGAACCGAGGTTGCGGTTTCCAAAGAAGTGCAGTGACTTCTTCCCTGTGTGTCACGGGGCATGGGAGTCCATTCAAATGAATGGGCTCTCGTGTCCGCGCAAAACACAGACCACACGGCTGCATATATGTGAACCGCAGTTGCTAAATGGTTAGCACTTCTGCCTGGCAGTACTAGGGTTGTTGGTTCAAATCCCAGCCATGACACCACCTGCCTGGAGTTTGCATAGTCTGCATGGGTTTCCTCCAGGTACTCTGGTTTCCTCCCATACTCCAAACACATGCTGGTAGGTGACTTGGTTCCTGTCCAAATTGGCCCTAGTATGTATACGAATGTGAGTTAGGGATTTTAAATTGTACGCCCCTTGAGGGTTAGGGACTGATGTGAATGTACAATATATATGTAAAGTGCTGCGTAAATTGATGGCGCTATATAAGTACCTGAAATAAATAAATAAATAACCAGGGCTTAGACAGATCAGTTTTCCCTGGGGGAGGGGCTGGGAACCTCACCATATTCCTGTGCAAATCACATGCGATTTGTGTGTGGTGCGATTTGATTGTAGTCATACATTTTGTATGGCTCTCTGCGCACCGCACCCGCACCAAAAACGTGCAGGACCCTTTTTTTGTTCCGCACTAGAATCGGATTTCATGGGTATTCACACCTATGCGGTCTGATTCTGCACATCGCACCGCGTTTCGCGGGCCGCTTTCGGGGTGTTGTTAACTTAACATACACACCCGCAGCGGTTCGCATGAACGGGGTGCGATTCTGATGTGGTGAGGAATTCGCATTGAAAACGCACTGCGAATTCCGCAGTGAACCAGGGCTCCAGCAAGTTGAAAAGTAAAAGACTTACCCATATAGAAGAAAAATATATTTGAAATGCTACAATTTTGGCCATATTTAATATATTTCAAAATAGATTTATATATATACACACACACACACACACATATACACACTGCATGTTTGCATGTTGAAATGCATTTTTATTACAAAATATATTAAAAATATTTTTAAAAATAAATTTCAAACATACTGTGTGTATTTAAAAAGACATACCGTATTTTCCGGCGTATAAGACGACCCCCCTACTTTTCCTTTTAAAATGTAGTGTTTGGGCTATACTCGCCGTATAAGACTACTCCTCTTCCAATGCACACCAGTGGGAAGAATCATGCCCCATCATTGGTATCAGTGGCAGGAATAGTGCCCCATCATTGGTATCAGTGGCAGGAATAGTGCCCCATCATTGGTGTCAGTGGGAGGAATAGTGCCCCATCATTGGTGTCAGTGGGAGGAATAGTGCCCCATCATTGGTATTAGTGGGAGGAATAGTGCCCCATCATTGGTGTCAGAGCGACGAATCGTGCCCCATCATTGGTGTCAGTGGGAGGAATAGCGCCCCATCATTGGTGTCAGTGGGAGGCCCCCATCATTGTGCCCCATCATTGGTGTCAGTGGGAGGAATAGTGCCCCATCATTGGTATCAGTGGCGGGAATAGTGTCCCATCATTGGTATCAGTGGGAGGAATAGCACCCCATCATTGGTGTCAGTGGGAGGAATAGCGCCCCATCATTGGTGTCAGTGGGAGGAATAGCGCCCCATCATTGGTGTCAGTGGGAGGAATAGCGCCCCATCATTGGTATCAGTGGGAGGAATAGTGCCCCATCATTGGTATCAGTGGCAGGAATAGTGCCCCATCATTGGTATCAGTGGCAGGAATCGTGCCCCATCATTGGTATCAGTGGGGGGAATAGTGCACCATCTTTGGTGTCAGTGGGAGGAATCGTGCCCCATCATTGGTGTCAGTGGGAGGAATAGTGTTCCAACATTGGTGTCAGTAGGAGGAATAGTGTTCCAACATTGGTGTCAGGGGAGGAATAGTGTCCCATCATTGGTGTCAGTGGGAGGAATAGTGCCCCATCATTGGTGTCAGTGGGAGGAATAGTGTCCCAACATTGGTGTCAGTGGGAGGAATACTGTCCCAACATTGGTGTCAGTGGGAGGAATAGTGTCCCAACATTGGTGTCAGTGGGAGGAATAGTATCCCATCATTGGTGTCAGTGGGGGGTGGAATAGTGCCCCATCATTAGTGTCAGTGGGAACAGTGCCCCATCGTTGGTATCAGCGTGGGGGGGGAGGAAAAGTGCCCCGTATATATATATATATATATATATACACACACACACACATATACACACTGCATGTTTGCATGTTGAAATGCATTTTTATTACAAAATATATTAAAAATATTTTTAAAAATAAATTTCAAACATACTGTGTGTATTTAAAAATACATACCGTATTTTCCGGCGTATAAGACGACCCCCCTACTTTTCCTTTTTTTAAAATGTAGTGTTTGGGCTATACTCGCCGTATAAGACTACCCCTCTTCCAATGCACACCAGTGGGAAGAATCATGCCCCATCATTGGTATCAGTGGCAGGAATAGTGCCCCATCATTGGTGTCAGTGGGAGGAATAGTGCCCCATCATTGGTGTCAGTGGGAGGAATAGTGTCCCATCATTGGTGTCAGTGGGAGGAATAGTGTCCCATCATTGGTATTAGTGGGAGGAATAGTGCCCCATCATTGGTGTCAGTGGGAGGAATAGTGCCCCATCATTGGTGTCAGTGGGAGGAATAGTGTCCCATCATTGGTATTAGTGGGAGGAATAGTGCCCCATCATTGGTGTCAGAGCGACGAATCGTGCCCCA